TTTCTCTATCTCTCTGGTGAACACAAATGCCCCCTCACATTGAAAGAAAAAAAAAAAAAAGAAGAAGAAGACAGAAAACAGTTCAAGCTTCAGAGCTCAAATAGCTTTCTTTACAGAATAATGATAAAGAAAAAAAATCCCCAATATACATAAAAGGAAAATTAGGTTAATACTGTGGGAGGGGATAATTCAGCTTCAGTAGAGATCTTCATCCTCAGTTTATTTTCTCAGTTTTTGTAGATAATAGAGGACAGTACTGATTGATGTAATCACCATCCAGGTTGTGAAAATAACACATTCTTCCTAGGCCCTTAATATAAAAAAATCACTGTGCTGTTATCCATCAATGTCAGGACATTTTCAGAAAAAGTAGCAGCCCAGCAGACTCTCACACTTTCACTATATGCAGGACAAGAGAAAATGCAGAGCTCAGCTCACCTACTGGCCAAAACACCTCAGAAACCAAGAAAGAATAAAAAGGACCAGCCAAACTCTTACCAAGCCCTGAGTCTTGACATTTCCATCCTTCTCAGTATCCAGCCTAGATAGTGTACCCTGAATGACATTGTTCACAGTTTTCATAGTTGCATCAAAAGTTTTGATATTATCCTTCAACAAAGCATAGTGAATCAGGAGCAATTTATTGATACCCTTACTTCTTTTTTTTATAATACATTTTGAGCAAATAAATAAATAAAATAGGACCAGCAGTCAGTGTAGCGGTCATGTCACTGGACTCCCACTTGGCCAGCGGCAGTGCGAGTCTCAGACCCAGGGTCTTGAAAATCATGCTGGATGCATATGCGTGCCTGTTCAAGATCCCAGGAGGAATAGGGAGAATAGATCATGGTAAGGCTATCCCCTTTGGGAGTGATTTCTCACTTTCCCTCTCAGTGTCTCCGTCTCTGTCCCTGTCTCTCTCTCTGAGAGTGCACATGCCGTAAAGGCAAAAATGACTTAAATAAATAAATATACAAAATTAAATGAAATAAAATGTGTGTGGGGGACAGAGAAATTTACCTTAAGTTTATGTGCCTCATCATTGAGATGTTTAGTTCCTTGAAGACATCTCTTTAATTTATTAACCTATATGAATACATAATAAAATAATTCAAATTCAGAAATATTAATTGAAGTGCCTACTAATCCTATCTTCAAGTGTGTATAAACAAGTGCTTTAGATATGTGAAGCTTGCTATGAAAGTGTACAGTATATATGGGAAATGGGACACCAGCAAAATGAAGAGATAAGAAAATAACTGAACTACAAGAGGTGACAAAAATTTAAAGTAAAACCATTACAAAGCAGAAATTAGAAAGACAATCATACCTTCTGTTCCCAAACAGTTATTTTTTCAGCAAGTTCTGTGTTTTCTTTCTTGAAATTGTCAATCTTTTCAGATATTTGTTGCAAATTAACTAAAAGTGGAGAGAAATATCTTTAAGATTATTATAAAAACAATAAAATCAAATTGACTGAAGGTATTTATTTTAGGAACCAAACATTCTCCACTACAATGAGCAACATTAACTTGTAAGTTGTACT